GGGCAGAGGGGGGAAACAAGGGCCTGTATACATATCAGCCGCGCCCATCACACGTGCTTTCTAAAGAAGCGTGCCTACGTGTACACCGGAGTCTTTATGCCATCGCCCCAGTTACGCATGGCCTCAGTATTGTGGCCTGTATGGATGGTCATGCAACACCCAGATAGAAAATCAAACGAGCAAGAAGCCTCTGTAGTCCTTGAATGTTTGAACACCCATGCACGCCATGTTAAACCCTATGGCAAACAGTACGTGCTAATATGGGTGGCATCGCAGGCGACGTGCACATATCAGCTGCAACACAGGCAACAGGCCGATATGAGTGGCAATGCAAGGCTACATGGTCATATGAGTGGCAACACCGGGTACATGCTTTTAAATAGACGTAGTAGCCATCTAGATATTACACAACATGAGCGCTGTGCCCGTATGAGTTAGGACGCAGGCGACGGGCTCATATGAGAGGCAACATAGACGACGGGCTCATATGAGAGGCAACATAGACGACGGGCTCATATGAGAGGCAACATAGGCGACGGGCTCATATGAGAGGCAACATAGACGACGGGCTCATATGAGAGGCAACATAGGCGACAGGCTCATATGAGAGGCAACACAGGGTACATCCTTTTATATAGATGTAGTAGCTACAAAGCAGCAGCAGTAGTAAGAGCATCATACAAAGGTGGCATAGGGCTTGCTTATACATGTGGCTGTGCCCTCATATGAGCGGGAATATGGGCTACAGAGCGCCCGCTCATATGAGCCCACCCGAGCGGTATCCCCAGGCTACAGTGTCAAAAATATGAGTGGCATCCCTGGCTACAATAGTGGCATGCACTCGCCAAAGGTTGTACTTCGAGTCACCCGTTCTTCCAAGGCAAAGGCAGATTCCACGGTCGCCCCAGAACCCTCGCCTTCCACCCCGGTGAGTAATCAGATGTCCAGAATTTTGTTACAGCAAAGTTGTTCATTATTTTCCAGCCTCCCCGCAAGCCCCGAGCTCCCACGGAACCGAAGGCCGTCTCTATCAACGCCGCTCTGAGAGCGAATGCCACCGCCCTTCTCATTGAATGTATCCACTTAATTGTAAGTACCAAACCGTAGATACTCTGAAAGTTGTTCATCCGCTTACGTATGCGCTCGACTTCAGGTACTCCGGTGAGCAGTGAGAGGTGTATGGCGGTGAACTACGTATTGATGAGGGTCTTCTTGGCACAGCGCTTCGCCTCGGGAAGGTTTGGAGAAGGATCTGCACGAAGTCCTCTCCCAGCTCTTGGACGCCCCAGCCCTCGAAATCCACCCATCTGCACGCAGGCTGGTGCGTTCTTTATAACGCCTTTCGAGTATTCTTTCTGACGCACATGCGACTCCAGAACTCGGTCCAAGAGCTCAAGGACTGCGTCGCACCTTGGCTGTGGGAAGCCGCTCGAGAGATGTCCGTCCTCAAGACGCTCCACGAGAGCGGCCTTGAATCAGTGCTTGGCATGATTTTCTTCTACTGGTTTACTGCCTCTGCTCGGTACGGCGTACACCCTCACGCTCGAGTTCTCAGATTACTTCGTTCTAGCTCGGAGGCTACTGCAGAGAACCTTGCCTCTCAACTCTTCGGCGAGACACCAACCCCGGACGACAACGCCTCCGCTTCGATCTCAGGAAGGCAGGAGCTGATTCCACTTGATGGTCGGCTGACTCAGGACGTTGACCCGTGCTCGGAGGACGACGGATCGGTCTCTGGGGAGGACAGCCATGTGGTGGATGACGGCCTCGCCCACTCCGCCAGCGCTGGTTCCACCGACTCGTATCAGCGCCTTGTCGCCAAGCACGCCCCCGGTCAACGCCCGTCTTTCATCCCCGACTATCTGGTCTACCTCAAGCTCAGGGACGGATCGAAGAAGCCCGTCCTGTGCGTCGAGTGCAAGCACTCCAAGGGTAACCCCGAGGACCAGGTAAACAGGTACTTCGACGAGTTCGCACATGAGAGGGACCTCCACTGCATGGCCGCGCGCATTGCGCCGAAGACCCAGGGACCCGGTATTCAGGTCGTGCTCTACCGCCGCGACCACACGAAGGCCCAGTTTCCTGGCCATCCTCCCCCGGTGATTCGGATGCACCCAGGTGGCGGAAAGCGTAAGAAGTGGTACCTCCTGACCGACGACGACTTCTTGGAGCAAATTCGGGTCCTTCGGAACGACTTTGGGGACTGGCCTGAGGATGACGAGAATGTTCGGGTCTCTCGGCCGTCCTAATACCTATGTCTGGTACGCACATTCCGTTTGCGTGCACGTGGAGCTTGACATCGGCACGGATCTACAGTATGACATATTCATCAACTCTGGCGGTCATATTGCCATGTCCCCAGCTCTAAACACGCCACTCGTTCAGTCTCCGTTGCGCCCATTAGCTCAGGATCTTCCCTTCAGCTCATATATTACACGCTCCTTACGCATTGCATATGTTACACTTGTTAGCACTCTCTCAATGACTTGTATCGCCGTCTTACATGGTCTCGTACAGTGCCGGGTACTTGTACTTTCCTATCTGATAATTGAATCGCGAGGGCGCTATACACGGATAAGTAACGCGAGTGTAATCATTAATGACACCAGATCTGCAAGGGCGATCGTGCACGACAAGCAGACTGCGATAGAACACTAAAGTGGAGACTTATAGTCGCGCATATGAGCCAAAGCGTTGCACCTCCTAACTATACACAACAGCGTCGTTAGATGCAGCTACTGTTGCCTGAAAATACCCCTTCAGATGCGCTATCGACTGTCAAAAGGACCGCACGTACTGCTGGGGCTAATGGTGACCGGAGCCGACTGGGTTTCAGCGCCAGTGGCATCTTCCAAAACCAGAGTGACGACGCTTCCTGGATGCGAAGTCGTCAGACGGCCCGCTGCCGTGGCTCGCGAGGACGAAGAACGGGTGCTGACCTGCGTTGAGGTCGACCTCCCACACGAACGAATGGCCTGTCAGGTTGAAGAACGCCCGCTGGAAAGTACCTGGGGGACCGCGGATTCTATGTGACACCGCAGTGAGTATTTTATTCAAAAATCGAGGATAGGGAGCACGGAGCACGTACATCTAGATGCGCCCGCGATAGTACGCTTGTTAGAGAAACAAAAACCCTGGATCACATAGATCTTACCAAATCATACGGGGCTGTATCAAGGACGCGTCAGACAATGCAATGATCGCTCCAAGGTGTACCAATCGTCACGTACCGACGCCGCCTTCCCATGTGACCAGAGTGTCGCTGCACTGCGGAGCCTGCGCCCTACATAAGAAGAGCCCTTAGTGTGACGTCGTTTACGAGGAAGTTGGAAGACGCGTACGGCGTGTTGATGATGAACCGGGCACTGGCAGCGGCTGCCATCGCCGCGAGGATCGGGAGAGTCGAGAGGGTGAACTTCATGATGTTCCGCTGTGAGAGGTAGGCGAGAGCTGCTATGCGGCTTGCGTTCGTCCTTCCGTTGTCGTGCCTGATATATCCCTATGCGCGCGCGCGAAGAAACCACCCCATGACGTCGGCGGGGTACTAGAACTGTCAGCTGAGGCACGAACGTGAGAAGAAAACAGAGATCAAGAAAACCGGCAAGTCGTCCATGGCTGTGGCGCAGAGCATGTTTCTATGAGAGCAGTGAGCGGTCCGACCAGGTTCCGACATCGGAGATATTCATAGAACCTTTTGCTTCGGCGTGTCGGCTCCGCTGTGAGAACATCGTAGATGTAGTAGAGCGATGCATGTCTGCTTTAGACATCGCGCTTGCCTTAGTCTCGAAACAAGTGCTGCGGGATGGACTGCAATGATGAGGCGGAAAAGGGTCAGTACTTAGCACTCACGGAAGCTGTCGACGGATCCGACATGGCGCAATTACAGCGCGTAAAGTATCTGATAAACGCATATTGACCGAGTCCGAGAGCAGCGCCCTGACGCAACCGTACCTGTGTAAGCGGGCCAATCGTGAGTGTGTCGCACGCCTCGGGTGCGCGCAACCTTACTTTCATTAGCCTTCATAAACCCGACGCATGTACCAGGACCCCCGATAATAGCGCCAAAGGTCGTTGACCGTGTTCGGCCAATATCGGGCATCTGGGGGCCGTCAGGCCGTTAGCTGTTCGGCCAATATTGGGCGCCTCAGGGCCCAAAGGCCGGTTACTGATGTTCGGCCAATGGTGCTTGGGTTGCACTCGGTGGCAGTGCTGTAGCCCGTCGGTAACGCCCATACGAGGTGCCCGCGTTGCCGTCGGTAACGGCCATACGAGCTCGTACGAGCTCCGGTAATGTAGCCGTCCGTAACGGTCGTACGAGGTATTTTGGAGGAGACCTTTGGCTCCTACATAGGGCCTTTGCACGGCTTCCCTACATGTAAAGAGGTAGTAATTCGTACCACAAACAATGCGAATAGCACTGTGCTACCCTACACCGGCATTACCGAGGCCATCCTTCCTCAGACTCAAGATCCTGGCCCATACTCGGGGCCCTCAAGCCGGCACGCAATTCATCTCCATCAACGCATGGAATACATTGCCGCAGACCTCCGCGGCACTTAACAGCTGCTTGTGTCACCATATGTGCGGTGTTTGTCCCGCAACGGTGGAAACAACCTCGATAGTCGTACGAGCCTGTACCCCGTCCGAGACGGTCGTACGAGCTCCCCAAAGGCGGCACACACCGGAATTGCGGTAATGCATGTAGTACGTAGCCACAGACGTTCTGAGCACATACCGACTTGTTTTAAGGCCATACGTGCGGTGGTTACCCCGCGGCGATGCAAACGCTGCCGGAGCTCGTACGAGCATGTACCCCGTCCGAGACGGTCGTACGAGCTCCGTCAGCCGGCACGCACCGGAATTGCGGAAATGCATGTAGTACGTAGCCACAGACGTTCTGAGCACATACCGACTTGTTTTAAGGCCATACGTGCGGTGGTTACCCCACGGCGATGCAAACACTGCCAGAGCTCGTACAAGCTCGTATGGGAATGCAATTACATAAGTAAATCAACACCGAAGAGTGACGACGGAGCCGATTGTCGGCATTCAGAAGGCGGAGCTAATACCGAACCTTCAATACCGAGCGCCAATACGGCCCTTATCAACGAACAAGGGGTCCCACTGCTACATCACCAATCCCCCCACTACCATGTGTTTCCTGAAGATCAAAAACGGTGTATACTACGTGGAAATTGTGTCCCGCGTAGTAGAGGTCACTGTTGCTTTCCTCACCAAGATGATCACCGCTGACCACTTGAAACACAGATATCCGACATTGTCCCAAGAATATACTTGGAGTGCCCAGTGAACGGCTGTGGATCGGTAGAGGTCGACTTAGACCCATATGATGTGGTATATAATGCTGACACCCCAAAGCTGTATGTGCACTGATAATATTCGTCTAGTCATTGGTATTTCCACGCCCGAAGTTTGGTCAAATGGTTCGGATCCGCGGATTCGTCGAACAGAACAACATGTTTGAGTGCGAAGAGCTCATAACGGCACAAGAGGCGACGTGCACCGACGGTATGATGTAATCGGCCTAATATTTGTGTTCGCTGACTAGGCCTGATAGAAACCACACCTCGTATGGCCTTGTCCCGGACCAGACCTTGGAAGCTGGAGAAGAAGTAAGTCAGATTATGGGATAGGAATGTAAATCGTAAACCTTTGTATATTGGTAGGTGTAAATGGACGCATTGTCCTTTGTGTGCCTCGTTACCGGAATGCCGAGAATGCCGATATTAAGCAACGCGCTGAAGAGCGGAAATGTCGGCACAGAGTTCATTGCCGGATACGTGCAATCACTACCGAGGCAGATGTGTCTATACAGCCAAATACAGGGTCTAATCTACTGAAGAGGTTTAGGATGCGCGAGACGGACGGTGCGGAACATCTCTGCGCTCTGCTTCTCCTTTCTCTCCCACATGCGAGCTTGTCCGTTAGCGTAACACTTATGGCAGGGTGACTCCGCCATGAACACGGCCCGGCGGAACCAGTTCTCCTTGAGCCGCGCAAAATCCAGCACCACGCAAAGCATCTCCAGGTCAAGCGCATTCAGGTTCTCCCACCAACGGTCCTTTCGCTCGTAGCCACGCTGCCACATTGTTCGTGGGCTACAAGATGTCAGGCGTGTTAATGACCAGTGGGCGGAGCAACGTACTTTCATCATTGTACAAGGTGGAGCCCTCTTCCGATGTTCCGGTAAACGTCCAGATCCATGAAGGGTGCTTGTTCCGAGCACCCCTGGTGGTTGCTTCCAGGATCGTGGTGTTGACAGTGAGATCGGACTTCGTGATGGGCTTGTAAATGACCAGATCATCCGATTTTTTCTTGACATCTTCAGGGTCGTTCGGGTCGTACAGGGCAGCGAGGGCAGTGCGAGAAAGCATGTAGAGCCGGACATACTTCGCTACTGAGTGGTCGACCGTGCGGATCTCGCTAAAGGAGCGGAGAGATTTGCGGACGGAAGTGGCGTTGCGAACCCGAGCGTAGTAGAGGTAGGACTTGGTGTCAATCCCGTCACGAACACCGGAAAGACATTCGTTCATCTCTCCCTTCCGAAGTTCTCGCTCCGCAAGGACGACGTCTATCAGACCGTGATCCTTGCAATACCGAATACCGAGTGAGGACGGCATGAGAATGGGAAGTTGCTCTGGACTGCCGGAGTCAGTTGCCTGCGGCGTGTTCGCTGTTGCGTCAGTCCCGTAGTCTTCGAGGGAATCCCATTCCTCGCCGAGATCCCCGGGGCCAACGACCAGCCGGGGAGGAGCGTTACTGAGATACTTTGTCGCGTCGGTATTGAACGATCGAATGTCCGATGACAACCGTTGCCTCTTCTCCGAAATCGTCAGTTTCGCCTTGTCGGTAGAGCTCTGCCGCAAGTCCCGAACGAGTCGCGCAATGACCACCCTGAACATGATAAATCAGCATGCATTCTGCCAAACGCATTATTGCACATGTGCCCTATCCACTTCACGGTCGAGCGCCTGTGGTGATTACCGACACGCGAGATGGGGACCCTCGGCATTGGCAATACCGATCATTGAATACCGAGACCTTGACCGATATATTCAGGTGGTGCGGAACTGGCTCACCTCTGGCGGTCTATACTGATTCCCAATGAGAGCCATGCAAGTAAGTCCGCTGAAATCGGATTCTCGAGTGATACCGTGTGCGTGGTGTCGCCGTTCAAGAGAGCCGTCCTGACTTGCGTCTTGTTCGCCGCTGTAGTATAATGAATATAAGTGTGCAGTTATTAAGATCAGACTCACGTTTGATCTTTTTCGGTGTAAAAATGTCCATGGCGGAGGCATCGGTTTTGCGTGCCTCTCGCGCATCGAGAATCTCCTGTTTCCATTCGGCGCGCTCTTCCTCATTAGCAACACGGTCAATTTCTTGAAAGGCCTCCTTTGCTGCAGTGTACTCTTCCACTGATTCCTCCCACTTGTCAACCAATGACTTCGCTGCCGGGCCGATAAGTACCGATTGCCGAACATGACTTCCGGAAGAGACCTACGTAGACGACAGAGCTTCATCCAATTCGAATCTTGCATGTGAGCGTCGATAACCTCTTTGCGATGCGACGTAGCCATCCCACGAATACTGTCCTTAATAAAATTCAATGGCTTCCAGAGGGTTTCGACAACTTCACCATCTTGATGGCCGACGTTGGGAACGAAGCTCAGCGAATGCCGAGCGTAACACCGATTTTGATGGCCGTGAACGTGGAACTGGCCGATGGCCCAAAAGAAGGTAGCGGCAATGGGCCACTGCAGGAACGGAGATGCTTCGAATCGTTTGCGCGCGTTGATGTGGTACTGACAGGCGATGTCGTAGATGAGGACAAAAGTCGTGTAGCCGGCGAACCACTTCCATGCCCAGTTTACCGAGTAATCCATGTTCCGTTGGCTGCCGGCAGTATAAGAACCAGTACGAGGTTCATGGCCGAAATATCACTCACGCTTCACCGCGCTGAAAGTCCACGACTGTGTGTGGAATGAAGAAGCCATGCCTCGAGCAGGCAGAGGCACCAATTCCCGTTGCATCTAGATGGGCCTTGCCCCCAAGGGACTCTTTGGTGGCTCGGTGCTCGTTGCACGTTGCGGCAACCCGCTTTACCGAAGTCAGGTCGTGCACCGACAATGCGGTAGGTCGAGACATACCTCATCCTTTGCCCTTGTAAGTGCGTCCTTCAGATGTGCGTCAAACCGTTCTTGAGCGACAAAGTACAGGTCACCGTCGACGAAAGATACATTGTCTGCCGGGTTTCTCATCACCATGTGCTCTAGGTTGAAGCTACCGTCGTGTGCTGTCGAAGCAGGATATTCGCGGCTGATCAAATCATTAGCGAGCCGGTTACACCTCGGTAATGAGGCGTACCTTTCGGCACTCTCGGCCCAGCCAGGGGGTGTGTTGATTCCTGGCCGGGGACAGGCTGAGCAGGCAATCGCTAATCCACCGGGCTTCCTCTCGGTATTCGATTCCTCATGACCGATGCCTGCATGAAGTTTCCACTTCAGCACTCGGTATTGCCTGGACGTGCGGAGGAGAGCCTTGTAGCCCAGCTAATTTAAATTGTGTCAGCTTTGTTCCTTACGCTGCATCGGTACTGACCTGGACGGAGCCCCAAAACGCCCCATCGGTAGTGCGACAGAGCTTCATATGATAGTTCCATGGAGACGTTTTGCATTGCTGATTGGTGAGGAGGAAGTCGTCGAGGCAGGCTAGCGTGAACACGGTGACTGGACGCTTCACGGACGCCGGATAGAATCCACGAAGCAACAGCTGCTCAGCCTCGGAATCTGCATTTGCGCACTTGCAGAAAGTGAACGCCAGGCGTTGAATGCCGGTGGTGTGTACCACCGTGAGAATGCGCTCCCCTCGGTACACGGGTACGTCCGGTGAAGCGGTGCTGGACGGACTGCCGGCGGCATCGTGGTTAGTTTGACCGGTATTCGATCCAATGCCGGCCTCTTCGCCGACTACTGTGTCGTCCTCATCTTCCTCGTCCGGATCTTCAGGATACTCGTCAATCGGTAGATTGGCAGCGTCTTCGGGTGGCTCGAGCGAATCCAAGTCGTCAGCAATAGGTGGTAGATTGAGTTCCGGTACAGCCCCAGGAGGCAGTTCCATGAGACTTGGACATAGCCTGCCGTCATGACCGCAGTGAACCTGAAGTCTCAGATGAATAGCGATGCGCGCCGCCAATGATCGGTATCCCAAAAATCGACGCGGTGGTGCACGAGGTGGAGATGTGCCTTTCTGCAGCATTTGGAGCAAAACATTGGCTGACCCAAACACGTGCGACATCTCCACGCCAACACCCCACCGCACTCGCACTTGGCTTCCGGCTCTACCGGTTTCCAACGTTCGATGAGTCTTCGCAAGAACGTTGGAGCCAGAGGTAACCATTCTTCATGCATGGTCACTTGCTTCTGCACAGAGTATGAGCAGAGTGAGGCAAAAACTCAGAAGACAATTGCCTTGTATTTGGATTTTTTCTCGCTGGGCCCCAGCTGCGTAACTTCGGGCATCTCCCAAGCGGTTCCATCATCACGTGCGTCTGATTGAGGGGTCGGATCCGGCACTCGTGAGGCCCCGCTCCGGTAGTCCTCTGAGCCACCGGCTGATGCGTAAACCGGTGGGCCTGGGTCGATCTTGCGTTTCTTGGTGCGCCTGTGGCCGTCCTTGGTGTAATACGTTTGCGAAGTTGTAGTATTGAGTACTCGAGCTTGCTGGGGATTGGCGAGGGGCATGATGGCAGATTGAGAGAACAGACGAGCGAGGGGAAAGCTTGCTTGTATCGATGATATCAAGGACTCGGCAAAGACATACTCCTACTGTTCGCTGAGTTGAAACGGGACCAAATAAATGTATACAAAAAATTCCGGGTCTGAGATGGATTGACTGTCCTCGACACATCAACCGTTCCCTCGATCATCACACCGCCGTCTTTCCCACTCTGCTTGCGCAATGTCAACTACCGAAAACGCTCCCGAAGACCCGTTTTCAGATTTCCAGTGGAAGAAGTCCGAGGTTTCGGAGATGCGAAAAGCGATAGAGAAGTGGAAGCCTGCACAAACGGCAACCCGCCGGACAATTGAGAAGAACTTGGTGGAGGTCTTTCTGCATCAGCGAGGTCTTGACGCCCCGTTCTTGGCGGGCTTCGTGCAAAAGGTGAGTCTCTAGGTGATTCCAACAAGAATTCTTTCTTCAATCTGCGCAGAAATGTTCGCTGTGGTTCAGCAACCACACTGCCGACCGCCAGGAGGGAACACCGGACTGGTGCGGTCTCAGGTTGTTCACCGGTCGTGGCCTCTGGTACAGTAAGAACTTCAAAGAAGTTGAACAGCAGGCGGGCAAGGATGCGACGTTTGGCATGAAAAACAGCCAGGCAGCGGAGATGTGGAAGCTACTCGACGAGGAGGAGCAAGAGGAGTGGCTGGATTTGGCTGCCGAGTACAACACGAAGCCGCCACCTCCGGACGTTCAGCGAGAGTACGCATGGGTTTGCATGTGTACCGCCGTCGGTATTGATTATCGGTTAGCTACGCAAACAAGAATATGGTCCACATTGTCGAAGAGTTTATCAAGTTCTTGTTCCGTATTTGTGGTGCAGCGGTCTTTGTATACACAACCCGCCCAGCTGTTGGCGGTCAGGTCAATACCCATTTGTGAGAAAATTCTGTCGCCCCACTAATGTGTATTGACTCCGTTCTCAGCGACGATACCACGCAGTACATTGACAATGCTACTGCGCTTCAAAAGCACGAGCTCTGGGACACCAACACGAAGGTGGCCTGCTTGGAGACCTTCGGTAGGCTCCTCGGCATGGCCGGCGATGAGGGCCCCCCGGTAAAGACTCTGCACATTACCGTGTATTACCGCTCATTACCGTAATATTAGGCGCTCCGTGATCACAACCTCTTTCGTCGGCAGCGGCGGGATCGCTCAACGACGGTCCCGTTTGAATACAAGTATGGTCTGCCGCAGCCATATTGTTCTCCTCGCAATGGGAAGAAGATGACAACAAAGGATGTTTACGCTCACGGTTGCGACTTTTTCCGTCTTCATCTGAGTCAGTGAATATCATTGATGCGTATTGCAAACTAAAGTTCGGCAATAGGTCTCGCGACTGGGGACGGCGTCTTGCTCAATTCTGTCCCATGGAGCACCATCAAACTGGAACTCGAAAAATACATCCCGGGAGAATACCTGACGACAGAATTCAAGGACAAGTTTGACTGCATGAGCAAGATGTCAGTCATCGCTCAGAAGAACTGGATTACGCACATCCTGAGGACTGAGGCATCATTACCGGTACCGGAAGACTTCACCGAGCCTGAGCCGGGGAAGGTGTTTCAAGTTCCGGAAGGGCGCTTCCACCTCTTGCGCGGTCTGTATAAGCCCACTGCCGATCATATCCCGGGTCAATACCGAGCCCTCCTTTGTGATGACGTCACCGAGAACGCACCCACCAACATTACCGAAACCGGTAAGCCTACGCGTCGCAAGAAGGGCAAGATGGCGAAGCGTGGCAGAAGTGGAAAAGGAAGGGCAACTGTTTCTGACGAGGACGACGAAGACAATTCTTCGAGGAGGAGGCTGATAAGGAGGACCGGGAAGAGGATGAGTTCGACGAGCTCCGATCCGGTGATGGTGGCCACGACGACTCCGACGACAACACCGCGAGCGACAAGGAGGATCAGGAGAACGAAGAAGAAGATGAGGATGGCGACGGTGATGAGGTTCGGAAGTCGCTCGGTATTGACGAGACACCCACTGGTGCGTCGGAAGACTATGACGGCCCAGGGTACGTCGAAGTCAGGACACCACCGCCGTCAGGCCTCCGTTCGCCGGTTGTGCGTCGAACAACCGTACTTCCGGCGGTGCGTCCGGCACCGTACGGTGTCAAACCCGGCGGGGTCGTCCCGTTCCTCGAGAGCTTGTGCGCCGAGACGCAGTACCAGAACCTCCTGACCCGTGTAGCCAAGGCGGTGAGTGGGCGACTTCAGTGCCGAAGACATAATAATAATATCACTATCATAGCTCGAGACGAAGGTGGACATTCCACCCATTCCAGCCGCTCCGTGGGCAACATGGGCTAACGTCCACGGGTTTGTTGGCCATGATCTCTACAACGACGCACAAGAGATGGTCCGACTGCTCGACTGGATCGGCGATCAATCGGTCCGCGAGGATCTTGACCGCGTCTCGGTGCAAAGGATCTGCTTGGTGTTTGGACTCCTTGCCCGAGACTCGCGTCAAGCGAACGACTTCCGAGAGGAGTCCCCTCCGCCGGAATTCGACAGCGGAGATGATTTCGGGCAGAGCGCCTTGACGCTATTGCGTTGCGGCGCAAGTAATCTCCTCAAAGGATCCTTCCCGAGCGCATGAATGTCCTCTGCGATATGATGGAGCTGACGCTCGAAGCTGGGTGGAACCGAAACGGACCGGTCCATGCCACGCCCAGTGAAGAAGAAGGGAAAGCAGTAGACAATGGTGCGTGCTTCGGTCACAGCGACTACTGGGTAAATTACGATATAATGAATGCTGGTGATCACCTTAGACTCTGGCCCTTCATCGTCCACTTTGCCCGGCAACGGACAAACGGGGGCTACCGAGGGGATTACCGGCGGGAAGGCAGTTGAGAGTTCGACCAAGAAAACGGTGAAGCCGCCGCAGCAACCCCCGGTATAGTGTATACTCCTGCAGTATTCGCAGTGTGCTAATGGATAGCTTGGTTCCAGCGGCGTTCCACTCGGGCAGTCCAGGTCACTGCAGCCGGTCTAGCGGCCGGGGTCAAGATCACATCAACTCCGCCCG